CGTTCAGGCTCGTTCTCCCCATTATGATGTTGTAGGATGATTCGGCTCCTACGACCACAAATCTCACCATTCGAGCCTTCCGAGTTGCTCCCTTTGCCAGTGCTACAGATAGAGTCACTTCTCCCATTGGCATAACCTCCCCACCGTTAAAACCATACAATGTCGTGGCCACCGGCTTCAGCTCCACATTCAACTCCCGATTGATTTGCACAAAGCAATCATAAAACATGACATCGACCGAACTCCCTGTGTCTATGAATACCCTCTTTACATCAAAACCTGCAACTTCAGCCGTAATGACCAAGGCATCATTGTGAGGCACCACCACCCCTGCTGCATTCTCTGCTCGAAAACTGATTTCTGGTACTCGGGCCGTGATACTCACCTCATCCCTCTTCCTTTTCATTGCTCGAACATGGCCTCTCCTCGCATTATTCGGGTCCCCATCGGTCGGGCCTCCTGAAATCATATATATCGTGCCTCTCTTCACTTGGCCTCCATCTCCTTCTCTTTCCCGCTCCCTACTTCCTCGCCTCCTCATCCCCTCATCCCTTTTCCGACCATCTCGACCACCTCGTGCATCCTCATCATCATCTTCCTCGCTCCTCTCTACCGAGTCCTCCCGGCACCTTCTTTTCTCCTTCCTCCTCCCCTTATTCTGGTAAACAAACTCCTTGAGATGCCCTGCTCGAATAAGGCGCTAAATCTCGTCCTTGAGATGCCGACAATCCTCAGTAGTATGGCCATAGTCTTTGTGGAAGCGGCAATATCTCATCGACTTTGGTTGGGTGGGCCCCTCGAACCTCGACCTTGGCCATGTCACATCTTTCTCATCTATCCCTTTCTCCATAGCCATCAAAACTTCAGCTACCTTCGCGTTCAATGGGGTGTAATCATGGAATCTCTTCCCCGCAGAGATAGGCCGGTCCTTCCACCTGTCCTCTCGCCCCCGATCCTACTTAGCTCGCCCCTCTCTTCTGGGTGAGGATTTCCTTTTAGGCGGAACTGCTTTCTCCTTCCTCGACTCCCCTCGACCTAACTCCTCTAGCTTGGCAAACTCAGCCTCGGTCTCCTCGAGATTAATATATTTCCTACACCTCCTCAACACCTCATCATACGTATGAGCAGGAGTCTTAGCCAGAGAAGTCCGACACGGTCCTGCCCGCAAACTCCTAATCAATCCTCCCGCCTTGACCTCATCGACCGCCGATGGAATCTCCAAACAAGCCTGATTGTATCGAGCGACATATTTACGCAGTGACTCCTTCTCGCCTTGTCTCATCGCCATCAATGTCAAATACGTTTTCTCCTGAGCCACCGCGCTCGAATATTGATTTGTCAATTTCTCCGCAAAATCCTCGAAGTCCACTATCGAGCCTGGGGGGAGCTGTAGGAACCAGTCGAGCACCCCTCCCCTAAGGGTCGATAAAAAGGCCCTGCAACTAACGGGATCAGTATATCCATGCAACACAGCCATATTTTCAAATGTCCTCACGTGTCTTGACGGATCAGAAGTCCCATCGAACACCAAGTTGGTATCCTTGTAATTATTTGGCAAGGGTGCTGCTAGTATGTCCACCGAGAACGGGTGTCCTCGAGCGCGCCTCTCCGCTCGACCATCCACCTTAGCCTGCAATTGGAGCAGCTGTTCCGCCATCCTCTCCATCTTCCGGTCATGCGTAGGCCCGCCTCCACCATAACTAGATTCATCCTCCTCTGCGTTTTGGCGTGACCCTGCAACAGTGTTCGGCGTTGCTGTAGCCCGAGAGAGACTGTTTGTGACTTGCTGAACTGCTTGCGCGGCTGCCTCCGCCACCATTTGTTGCATCTCCTGCCTGGTCATTATCACCTGCTGGTCGGGGACCTGAACCGCTGCTCGCGGCGGTGCTCCTCCTTGGGCCACCGCTCTTTCTGGTTGCATCCCCGTTCCTCCTGGTTGCGCCACCGTCGCTCCCAGTTGCACTCCCACTCCCCCTGGTTGCGCTGCCGTTGAGCTTTGTGGTGGTGGTGGTGTCGCCGCCGCATCCGCTACACGGGCCTCGTGAGCACGGTTGGGGCTGGAGTCTCCTCCGGGAATCGTCGTTGCCACTCCCACACCTTGGAGCACAGGTACGGGAGTGATCGGCATCTGCGATGGGCCAGAAAAACCTGGGGGAGGACCCTGTCCCAACGGCCTGGTCGTTGTCCAAGCATCATCGAATGTTGACTGTAAGTTTTTGGGAATTCCGTCCGCCATAGCTGAGCTTCAAGCACACATTTTCAAACGAAAGTCCCACAGACGGCGCCAAATGGTAACACAAAACTCCTCGACCGGCTGAAACTTGAATAATCGCCTTCCTTCTCACCAGTTGAACGTCGTGCACCTACAAAGAACTCTCACACCGGAGGGGTTTTCCGGTGAAGATCCTCCGAAGCTTAAGTCAGTGTATGTTCAATCAATTCTCAAGAGTAAGTAATAGAATGATAGTATTGAAGAAGAAGGGCTCACCCCCTTTATATAGGGGTGAGATACCTGACCTAGGGCTGCCCGGATTTGATGAGCTGTCTGCCCTAACTGCCCGTCCGTACACACCAAACGCGTGTGTCAGAGGTAGTCGTCGCCACTATCGTCTACACCAATCCTCTTTGGACGCGTGTCCTCCTGCACATGGGTTAGGCTGTCAGAGGTGGTTATCGCTATCCACCACTGCTTTCTCGACACGTGTCCCCCCGCACATGGGGTAAATATTCCCCTGGAATTCCGTTAGAGGTTCTCTCACGCGCCTGTGACTAGGTCGATCAACATGGTGTTAAGTCCTCAAAGTAGTCGACCTGTTGAGGTCGAATAAGATGCCCGATCATGTATCTGGTCGAAGGATAGTTTGGTCGACGGATTTACTTGGTCGACTGGTTAACTGCTCGATTTCCTTGACTTCCCCATAATACGACCTCCTCGACTGGTCAATAGACCGGTTCAGCCTAGTGGGTATAATATCCCATATCAGTTCGCCTTCCCCGGATGGTACTGAATGGCGCAATCATAATCCTTCACTAGATCCAACCATCGCCTTTGGCGCATGTTGAGCTCCTTCTGCATGAAGATGTACTGCAGACTATTGTGATCGGTGTAGATCTCGCACCGACCACCATACAAATAATGCCTCCAGATCTTGAGTGCATGAACAACGGCTGCCAACTCAAGGTCATGAGTCAGGTAGTTCTCCTCGTGGGGCTTCAGCTGTCGTGAAGCGTAAGCGACAACCTTGCCCTCCTGCATCAGCACGCACCCAAGTACCTGCTTCGAAGCATCATTGTAGATAGTGAAACTCTGTGTAGGGCCCGGAATAGTCAGCACGGGTGCCGTAGTCAACCTCCTCTTGAGCTCCTGAAAGCTCGACTCACAACGGCTACTCCACTCGAACCTCACCGACTTCCTCGTCAAACGTGACAAGGGCAGGGCTATCTTCGAAAACCCCTCGATAAACCTCCTGTAATAGCCTGCTAACCCGAGAAAACTACAAATCTCGGTAACAGACTTCGGTGCTGACCAGTTCTTCACTGCCTCGATCTTCCTGGGATCGACCTCTATGCCCTCGGCCATAACAATGTGACCGAGGAACGCCACTCGATCGAGCCAAAACTCGCACTTCGAGAACTTGGCGTACAGTCTCTCCTGTCTAAGAGTCTCCAACACGATCTTCAAATGCTCCTCGTGCTGAGTTGTGCTCCTCGAGTAGACCAAAATGTCATTTATGAAGACGATGACAAACTGGTCTAAGTATGGGTGAAAGAAACGGTTCATGAGATCCATGAATACCGCCGGCGCATTGGTCAAGCCGAACGGCATCACGACAAACTCATAGTGACCGTATCGGGTACGAAACGCGGTCTTCGCCACGTCAGACTCCCGAATCCTCAGTTGATGGTAACACGAATGAAGATCTATCTGGGAAAACACACGGGCACCTCTCAGTTGGTCGAATAAGTCCTCTGTTCTAGGGAGTGGATACTTGTTCTTCACTGTCAACCGGTTTAAGTCCCGGTAGTCGATGCACATGCGCAGTGTCCCGTCCTTCTTCTTCACAAAGAGGACAGGTTCTCCCCAAGGTGAAACGCTCGGTCGAATAAAGCCGAGACCCAACAACTCCTGAATCTGAGCCTTCAACTCCTAAAGCTCTTTCGGCGCCATACGATACAGCGCTTTCGACACTGGCCCAGCTCCAGGCAGCAGGTCAATCGTGAACTCTACCTAACGACTAGGTGGTCCTCTCGGTAGCTGATCCGGAAAGACATCCACGAAATCTCTCACTACGGGTACATCTCCAGGCATGCGCTCCTCCGAAGGTTCCCCGAGTATACTAACTAGATAGCCCTGACAATCCTCCCTCTGTAGGCACTTAGTCGCCTTCGCCATGGAAATGATACGCGGTAAAGTCCTCGTCCTCCTCCTGAAGAATGTGATATGGTCTCCATCGGCTAAGTGCAACGTCACCTCTCTGTTGCGGCATCGGATGTCTGCGTGATATCTCTCCAACCAATCCATGCCAAGAATAAGGTCAAAGTCCCTCATCTCGATCACGAATGCGTCTACCTCTAGAGTTTTACCTCCAATACACATGCTAAGGTTCTTGGCCAGGGAACTCGTGACTATCTTCCTCCCCGAAGCTAGGCTGATCTCGAGAGGGTCGACGTCACTCACACCCTGGACCCCTATGGCCTCTAGACACTTGGCCGAGATGAACGAATGTGTCGCCCCGGTATCGAACAAAGTGAAGACAGGTCCATCGAGTAAAGAGAGCATGCCAGACATGGTACCTGGCTGCTCGGCGGCCTGCTCCTGGTCAAGTGTGTAAATGTGGGCAGGTGCACCTCGAGGTGGGTGTTGAGCTGGCTGTCTCGGTGCTTGTTGTCTCTGAGCTGGCGGTCTCTAGCCCTGCTGAGGCTGTGGGCGATCTGGGCAGTCTGCGATCCTGTGACCGGGCCAGCGGCAACGATAGCAAATGTCCTGCCCAGCTAGGCACTCTCCCCGGTGGGCGCGCTGACAAGTAGCGCAAATAGCTAGAGGCTGCGGAACTGGTGGTGCGGCCTGAGCTGGGGCTCCTGGCCGACGGTTCCTCCTATCATCGCGACCTCTCCACTTCCTCTTGTGTCGGTGTTGCGCCAGCTGAGGTGGAGCTGGCAGGGCTGGCTGGATGGCAGCTGGCTGTCTGGCTAGTAATGCCACCTGAGCTAGTGGCTGTGCAGGAGTGTCTAGCAGCTGGGATGCCTCAATCTGCTGAGCCCGCTCGACGGTCTCAGCATAAGTCAAATAGCCATGGCTGGCTACGAGCACTCGAAGGTCTCTGGTCAGGCCATTGCGGAAACGGGAGGCCTTCTTGTCGTCGGTGTCCACAAGATGGCGTGCAAAGGCACTCTTACGAGCGAACTCCTGCTCGTACTCCTCAACCGAGCGGTCTCCCTAAAGCAAGTCATAGAACTCTCGCTCCATCCTCTCGCAAAAATGGCGAGGGTAGTACTTGGCCTCCAAAATCCCCTTAAGCTGATCCCAAGTCAGTTCCTCTTGCTAGTCAGCTGTCCTGAGACGCCAGTAGTCGTCCCACCAGCCTCCGGCCGCACCCTCTATCTGACACTCTGCACAAGCGACCATGTGCTGGTCGGATATGCCCATCATCCGAAAAATACAATCCATCTTACGGATCCAGTCTCTTACGGCCAACGGGCCCTCCTCTCCAGTGAAGACCGGAGGGGTGTATGTCCGGAACTTGGCTGCGACTACTGCTTGATCCCCCTCTGCGGGTGGAGCTCTACGGGGCGGCATTCTGGATAGCCAAATAACAACTTGATTAGTATAGCCAATTAATAAATAGCTACACTACTTGACGAATTTAAATAATTTACCGAAAACACCTAGCTTGGCTAGAGTTCTGATTTCTGCTTAACTCTACTGATTCTAGCTCGAGTTCTAATATAGTCTAGAGTTGGACTTAGATAAACTTTCTAAATTTCTCTCTAGAGTTCTCTTTCTAATCGGAGGGTAGATGGCCCCTAAGATCTCTTACTATATTCTCATGCACTTGCTGAAATTTAAAACTTAGGTGACTTACCTCGGAGTCGGCACGGCGTGAGCGTGGCGTGGTCATGCTTTTCTAAACTTTTAAGTATACAGAACCAAAAAGTGGCTCTGATACCAACTATAACACCCCGCCTAATTATTCTAGAATTTATAAAAAAAAAAAAAAAAAAAAAA